AATGAATGAATGAATGAATGAATGAATGAATGAATGAATGAACAAACAAACGAATAAGCCATGCAGCAAAAACTATCTAACAAATCTCCATACTTCTCTTCTGGTCTGACAGCCATTATATGGTATGCTGAATATAACATAATTTAGTGTGATTCTTGGTCTGCAGTATGGATCCATCAAGCTGGCACTCCATGGATTATAGCCTTGAGAGTTCAGATAGCTTCTACTAATTACAGCTTCCATATAGTAGGGCCGACAAACAAGAGCTGACAAGGAGGAAAAGGAAATCTTATTAGTGCATTGAAATACATATGGCAATAATTTATTATTATGCTCACTTTATGAATACAACATCATCCCAGCACAGAGTAATAAAATGTTGCCTGCCAAATTATTTTTCATATAAATATATTCTGCAGTTTAACAATTTTTGCTTTAAAGTGAAAGTATGCTGGAAAGATATTTTCTGTGATGGAATGGTTAGGTGAAGGCTGCGCTTGGGGAGATAAGCATTTCCTAAGCCCCCAGCAGGAGCATGGGAAGGTTAAGAGGATGAGACTGGTACCACCCTAAGGAATTCATGGTGTTTGCTTGCTGGCTTGAGAAGTTTAGATTCAGTCTGGCAGGATTCTGTCTTGTGGGTGAAAGCTAATAAAAGCTATCGAAGTAGACCTGTACTGTCTTGTGGAGTTCTTTGGGCTGAACCTGACAATTCATGGTGTTTGCTTGCTGGCTTGAGAAGTTTAGATTCAGTCTGGCAGGATTCTGTCTTGTGGGTGAAAGCTAATAAAAGCTATCGAAGTAGACCTGTACTGTCTTGTGGAGTTCTTTGGGCTGAACCTGACATTTTCCAAACAATCATGAAAACACAATCTCTGGATCTTGATCTCCACACACCACCCATGTCTACTTCTGGGTACTGAGGTCATTGGGCATAGTTTTGCTTGACTGCTTTTATATCTAACTCCATTCTTAAAGGTCCCTCAAAAATTGGAGGATAATTATATGACCAAAATGCTTATTGTCCAAAGCACATCACTAAAGTCTCAAGATAATCAATAATATTGCATTGGTTAATCTGAATTGTAATACATTATGATCATAGTACAGCAAACAGCCTGAAAATCTATCCTGAGGATCAGATTCTGAAATCTGGCTTGAAGTTAGGTGGTAGGTCAAATTAAAACTACATATTAGCCACTCTAGAATATAAATCTTAGTTATTTGGAACTACAATGTTCATAGTTCCTTATTCCAAGGATATTCATGTTTTATTTAACTGTCTAATCTGTATGTGACATTGCCCATGCTTATAAACATCTTGTTCAAAGATATTCTACCTTACAAACCCTCCATCAGGCTATACCAAAATGAAGAATAAAAACTAAATAAATTGTGTCTCATTGTGCCAAGAGGGAGACTGAATAAAGTGCTAAGAACTCTCATGAAATTCTATAATATTCGAAAGGCCAGTAAATGAAAAATTAATGACAATATTATACTTACTTGTGTTTTGATCTACAGAGAAGCTGTTATAGTTTGCAATGAAGCCTCTATTTGTGACACTAAAATCAGTACGGAATTTAATTGTCATCATATTGGAAGTTGATGTAAAGGTGCGATAGGAGCCATAACAAATTCTCCCAAGCAGTGGGGCAGTATGGAGTGGCCCATCATAGATTTCAATATAATCACATTGGCATCTATATCTATCACATACTTCTAGCCTGGAAAGCAAAACAGGAGTATAATTTTTATTTGGATAGTGGTTGACCTGCAATTCATTCATTCATTCATTCATTCATTCATTCATTCATTCATTCATTCATTCATTCATCATATTTATATAGCCACCCATCTCACACAAGGTGACTCTGGGTGGCATACAACAATCATTTACTCTGATACCCCATGACAGAAACTTTCTTTTTTGGTGTTAGGTCCTAAAATTCTCTCTGAGATTAGACCCAGTAAAAGGAGACAAAACAAACTGATATTCAAACTCAGCATTTCACAGTTCATATAAGGTACATTTTTTTCAAATGCTCTTCAACTGGTGAAGTGACAATTAATTAATTAATTAATTATGGTAATGCTACTGGTGGTGATAATTTTGATAATGCTTATTTATAACAAACAATCATTTAGATAAGAATGTTAATATACATGGTACAAAATCTGAATATATAAGACTGACATATTAGTCTAATAATATGAAACTGGATGGACTTTTTCTGAGAAAACATTTTGGAATGTGTAAAACTCCAGAAATTCTCCCCTCTTCCAGAAATTATATTAACCATTTCATGGACTTTTCTTCGTCCCTTTAAAAGAAAAAAGAAAAATACTGAGGATTTGGGTTTAACAGGACCTTTTGAGGCTTGAGAAATCCAGGACTAGATGTTAATTTAAGCCCTCTTCCCCTGCTCTCTCACAGCATCTTTCTCAGTATTTTTTCCTCAGTTGATTTTGGTCTATAGTCCAGTAAGCAGAATTACTGAAATGATTCTTGAGAGTACTGTATAGATTAACTGATTATTTTTACAGTCTAAAACAAAAATAAATTGGTCCATTCAAACATTTCAAATGCTGGATCAGACTTTGGACAAGATCCCCTCTATGTGGGGAGCCTGGACCTATATCTCTATCCTTAAGAAGAGCTGAAGTTCTACTATGGATTAACTAGATATCTCTAGCGAAAGCCGTTGTCTCAAATCTAGAATCCCACTGCATTTTGCAAAATGTGCTCTATAATTCATACTCATCATGATATATATTTTAATAAACCACTCTTAGTATCATGACACATGCATTAAAAACAGCTTTACTTACGTAACATTTGGGAATGAAAGTGTTATTCGGAAATTGTTTTGAACTTGTATTTCCCATACACAGTCTGCATTGTTTGGATAGTAGGAGGGATAAAATGGACTTTTAAATGACCCTGATGGGTATCCAAGAAAACCACCACAAGAATATGAATTTGATACTGTTACTAAAAAGAAATCAAAGAAAAACACAGGCCATACAGGATTAGGATACAGAGAACCATATTATTGGAAAGACATCTGAACTTTTCTTAAACCCAGAACCCAAAACACTTTGTTGTCCTTCCAGCCTTATGTTCTGAGGGAACCAGAATTTCTAACTGAGATTGATGCCTGTTGATGCCTAATATCTTGAAATAGGTTAACCTGCCACTAAGTCACTAGCTCTATTTATGTACTGTATACAAATAATATGTGGGCATTAAAATGGAAAGAGTTTTTGTACTATTTGCAACCCATGTCTTTTTAATATTGAACATGAAAATCTTAAGGAGGAATCATACTGTGAATTAATCTGAGATGAGACAGAACTGAAATCCTCCTCTATAGGATCTCCTATATGATCTTTGGATTAGAGATAATTTTATCAATAATGCTTTCTAAACAGTTATTCATAGTTCTTATTAGAGACAAGCCATTATATGGATCTTGCTAGCCCTATTCGTCTGCCAGGAAAACAGAGCAATATTTATGATCCAAAATCAGCTATTACTTATAAAAAGAGAAATGGCAATCTGACTTTTCCCCATTTATTTATTTTTCTTAACATAAGCCTTGAAGCTAAGAATTTCTATAAAAGAGGCTGGACTACTCAGCTTTAACCACTACTGCAGTGGTAGGCAATATCTGTTTTACCAGCTTTATTTCTCTCCCTAAACTAACCCTGTGAGGCTTTTAAAATATTTAATAATATGCAGAAGGCAGATTCTCTAAGTTGAAATAATAGAGACAATTATAATGTAATTAGAGATGACTTATTTTTGTCTACTGTGTCATTTTTTTCTATAGATCAACTGGGAAGAAAAGAGAGGACATGAATTAATTGATATCACTAATCATATATAAAACAGATATTTTAATCATTCAATGACTATAAGATCACTTGGGCTGTGATTCTGGGAATAAGCCCACTGAACTTAGTGGGGTTTATTTCTGAGTAAATATATAAGATTGATTGTTACATATGACAAATTATTTATAATTTATTTTATAACATAGTTTATAAAAGATATGCCCATCAACAGCAAACTAAATTCAGTGTAATTAAGGTCAGTCAAACCACAGTTCCATTAAATAGTTATTTAGAGTATAAATATAGGATTTATTCATGGTTTGGGAGCTTTCTTCAATTTTATTGCTCCAATAACTCTGTAAGATAGGGACGACTGAAAGACAGTGAGTGTCCCAAAATCACCCTATGAGTGATTTGTGTAGAACTCACTGGTCACAGGAGTACTTATTAATTCCAGGAAACAGACAAATGTACATGTGTACACTAAGTACACTTCCCCAAACATGACATTCCACATTTATTTATTTCACTAGGTTTATATGCTCCTCTGAGGAACTTACAATCCTACTATACATAACAGGATTAAAACAGTAGAAATGTCAACCTAATAATAAAATCATAAAATAATTACCAAAAAATAATAATACCTAATCAAATTAATGCTAATAATAAGCAGTAACACTCATAAAACAGGAAGAATCTAAATCTGTATGTCTCCATCTCAAAGACCTGTGGAAATTATCAAGTTCTTATTACTTTATTAAGTCTCAGTAGAGCTGGGAAAGGCAATCCATTGGTAGAAAGCCGTCCCATAAATATCCAGGTATGGAGCCAAAAATGGCTTTAAAGATGGCAACCAGGACTATGAATTGCAGCTGAAAGTTGCCTGGTAACCACTGCAGCTCTCAAAGTAGTGTTAAATGGAGAAAGTTAGGTATGTCCATAACTACACATATCTGAGCCTCTGTGTTCTGGACCAGCCGTAGCTTCCAGGTGACTCTCAAGAGCAGTGTAAAGCACATTGCAATAGTCCATATGACAGGTGATAAGGTATAAATAATTGCGAGAAGCTCCTTTTGATGCAGGAAAGGTCATAAGTGGTGCACCAGGTGAAATGATGGAAAGCCCCTCCTGACTGCAGCTGCTATTTGCTTTTCCAGCAAGAGCTGTGAGTCCAGAAGGACCTCTAAATTATGAGCCAATTAGTAAAGAGGGAGGGGGACAAAACACTGTCCAGAATGAAAAATGGAATATCCATAAGGTTGCATGGCTTCAGGAGCTACAGCCTCTCTGTCTTACTCAGATTAAGCCTAAACCTGTTCTTCCTTGTCCTACTCTCAGCTACAGGCTTAAAGAACAGCAATGGTTGAATTATCATTAACATTCATGCTTCACAATCATACTGACTGATAATAATGTTTACAGATATCAAGCATTTATCAATTTTTAATTATGAGTATTAAGTAAAGTAACTGGGATTGTGATAAAAAATAATTCAAGAAATTAGACATCATTTGTCATTCTAGGCCACAACAAGGAAGATTGGGTGTCTGACAGGGAAAACCAAAGGAGGAATGAAAATATATGTTTGAGGCATTTGCTGCTGTTGTGATTAGAACTAAAATGGCCCTATACTGGGTTGTTAAAGATCAACAGTTACATATTTCATCATCCCCAAAAGCTACATGTAATCAGTAACATCCTTATGAGCCAGTAGAAATGAAATGGAAACTAAGGAGAAAAAATATTGAAGGCTGTTTGAACTGTTTGAGAGGCACTTCATGAAGCAATCAAAGCTTTCCTCAGAACTCACTGCCAGAAGCATTGAGCCACCTTGTGAAATGCTCAGTGCAACCACTTTGTGGGCCTCCCCACATCAACTGATTGCATGTGTGTCCAGCTCTGACAAGATTGCCACCTAAACAAAACTGCAGTCCTGGGAGCAATCCCATTTGAGCAGCAGTTCTGACAGAGGTATCACCTGTGCATTCACAGTCATTGCCATACATCATTTGAAGGCCTTTAAAGAGGTTCTCCTGAGTCTTCCACAGGATTTGGTGCCTCAATACCTTAAGGAGTAGGTTCAGAGGGAACTTTTAATTACTTTCCAAAGAAAGACTTGTAAATGGTTTGCACAGCCCTAATAACTAATGAGCTAGACTAAAACATTCAGCACATCTGAAGGTACCAGTTTGGAGAAGGTTATACAGGTAGTCCTCAGTTAATGACCCTAATTGGGACCGGCAACTTCACCACTAAGCAAAGCAGTCACTAAGTGGGAAATCAGGAGACCATGACTGTGCTTTCTGGCTGGAAAGAGACAAGACTACTCAGTTTTACACCTGCTTTTGTCTGCCTCCTAACCACTCCCTTGCCCTTTGGAATGCTCAAGTGCCTGCTTACTGTCTTATATAGATCAAAAGCAATGCGATTGCACCATGGCCCAAGGCTAGGAGCCATAGGCCCATTATGCAAATAGATTATTCTCTAGAAATCCCTTTCTCTCCAATCTGTCTGCTCTGCAAGGGGGGAAAAAAAATCAGGCACAGGACAGCGTGTATTGACTGTAATGGCAATCACGTGACTGAGGGACACTACGAAGATTGTAAATGATTGTAAGTGGGCTGTAAGGTTATTTTTTCTGCACTGTCATAACTTCGAAGGATCACTGAACAAATGGTTGGTAAGTGAGGACTACCTGTAGTAGAGGATTTCAAATATTTTATTTTATTTATGTAATTTTGTTTTTACTCCAAAGAAGAAATGTTTGAAGAAGAGTTTATGGCTTATGTGGAAGTTAGCTAAGAGTGAATATCTGATATTTTTTATGCAATCCTCTTTCAGATAAAATGCAGCCCACTCTTCAGTTAAATCCTGTAAGAAAACATCATGTTTTAAGACCTAAATATCATAAAGGTGTTTATCATGCTACAAGTTCTCTTTCAGGCAGCAGTGAACTCTTTCCTTCTTTCTTATAACAATATGTGCTAAAAAGCACATACAGAAGCAAAAATAATTGCTATATTTTCTGTATTTGCTTGGAAAGCGCTAAATATGAATATTCAAGTTTGGACAAATAGGAAGTATGTTTATCTTTAATTCATTTCCTTTGTATTAGTGCAAATTGCCAATCCTGCCACATGTACTTCATTCAGAAGGATTAGAGCCTGTTAGCCCAGAAAGAACTCTTTATCAAAATGCTCCTCTCTTCCTTAGAAAAAGGCTGTAAATGCTATCAAGATTGAAGTTTATGAGTGTGGGGTAAAGAAAGCAAATAAAAATTAGCTATGAGGAAATCCCTTGAATAAGTGGACAAAGGAATTAATTGTCTAAAGAGTGGATACAGAGAGTGGATTTTGCAATTCAAGTGCGTTATTAAAGGAAAGCCAGTTAAACATCTTAAAAGGAGGGATTATAATTCTTCATTCTTCATGAACCAAGAACATGAACAAGTCTCATGTACAAGTTCAGTGATTTCCTGTTTATAGCATTCTGTGATAGTAAACATTTTTGGAGGAAAATGGTCATCAGTGGGTATAATTATAGAAAGCACAACAATTTTATCAAGAGCATCACTCTGATTTTTTGGGTTCACTGCTTTAGTTGTCCCTAATTAGCTTTGTAAGAAGATTGGAGCTTATAACCAGTAGTCTCCCTGGACAAGAGGACAATAGTTTACAATGGTGAGAGTTATAGCCCAACAATCTTCTTAAATTTTTGAATCAGTTGGACATATAGGGAGCTAAAAAGAATATTTAGTACTTTATATACAGAGGCATTAGAGCTAAGATACAGGGCTTTGAGTCCCTTTGCAAGATGCATCCTAGACCTTTTCCTGCTTATAATCTATAGATGTCATTCCACTGGCAATTGCCTAAATGCAAAGCACTGGAATTAGAATTTATGAATTAGAATTAGAATTAGTCCATTATGGGTAAAAACTGTATTGATGTCCCAAAACACACACCCACGCAAATATATGACAAGAATTTGGGAAATATATTTCAGGAAAATAATGATGGTGGCTGTAACTGCAGCCAGAGAAGAGACTAGAACATAAAACTCAAATAATGGAAGGAACAAGAGTTATCAGCAGTTGAGGCTCAGACTTTTTCCAACTCCTGTAGTGGCATTAGGCATGGCCTTAGAGAACCATAGCAGAGGCAAAATTTGCACCAGGGATTAAAAATTATAGTCCCTAAAGGGGAAAAAAACACCCTGTTATAGATAATTTTTGCATTAACAATGACTATCAGCTTGCAGGTGGGGATCACTTCATTTCCCTCACCAATGGCAGCTGAAAACCTGCAAACGTGTTTCTTTGTGGATAGTTCAGAGTATGCTCAGACTTGGGCAAAGATGATTTCCTCACCTACTAAAGGTTCCAACCATGTGCTGGTCCACTATGTTAATCTGTGTTCCATGTTAAAAAAAAATAAATAACAGATAAATTGCCCTCCAGAAATAATCCAGCGCACCAGGTCTAATTTGAGCTTCCCTCTCTAAATACTCTCTGGTCTCAGTGGCAGAAACTAAACATAAACACTCTCTAAAATCTAACAAGGCACCAGGTGAGGACTTTCTGCCTCCTGAGCTTTTTAAGTCATATATTGACTGGTGGGCTCCATTACCAGAGGGCCTGTTCTCTCATATAAATAACACTGGTTAATATTCCTGTAGGATAAGAATTGTCTATTGTAGTCCTATATACAAAAAAAAAAAAAAAAGGAAAAAAAGGAGACCCCAGAAATTATAGACTTATTAACATAGTAGCTAAGATTTATGCCAAATATCTCCTAAGCAGAGTAGAGGGCTGGTTGTATGAGAAGAAACATCTAGTAGGAGAACTGGCAGGATTCAGGCCTGAGCTCTCTACTATAGACAATTGCTTTACTCTATACTCTATCTTATAACAAAGCACACATCAGCAGGAAAACAGCTATATGCCACCTTCGTTGACTTTAGTGCAGCATTTGATTCTATTAACAGAGTCATTCTGTGGAAGAACCTGGCTGATCTAGACATGGAACCTAGACTCCTATGCCTGATTAAGGCTCTCTATACAAACCCCTGTCTGAAAGTCTGTTCAGGAGCAAATGGCATCCTGACACACAACATACCTAGTACCAATGATGTCAGACAATGATGCATTCTGGTCCCAATGCTATTTAACCTCTAGGTCAATGGCATCTTAGGATTCCTCTACTCTCAGGATGTCCATATGCCAAAGATACTTGATAAATCTATCAACATTCTTCTGTATGTGGATATGGTCCTTATGGTGCAGTCTCAAGCTGGCCTAAGGAGAAGTTGGATGCTTACTGCACCATTAACTCCTTGAAAATTAATAAGGCCAAGACCAAAGTAATGGTATTTGGAAAAGAGGCATACTAAATACAACTGGTACTTGGACAGGGAACCTATAGAACAAGTCAACTGTTTCTCATATCTAGTGGTAGTTTTCACCAACATAGGGTCATGGATAAGCCATCTTAAAAGAAGTATGACAAGGACCTCAGCCAGTTCTAAAACACTTTTGAGATTACTTAATTATAACTGCTTGGGTACCCTAGTCCCATATGGAAGGTCTATAAGTCTAAAGTAACACCTATAATGACCTATGGCACAGAATTGTGGGGTCTCTTAGTCATCACTATTTGAACAAACCCAGACCCACTTCCTAAGATCCATTCTGGGAATAGATAAAAACACTCCAGCCTCTGAAGTTAGAGCTGAAACAGGTGTCCACTCCATCCATAGCTCTACAACAATTCAAGCTTTCAACTATTGGTGGCAGATACTTTCAATGGATCATGATAGATTACCAAAAAAGTGCCTTGTTGAACAGTCTGGCATGTCCCACCCTATCACATAGCTAAATCAGTTTACCATCAGTTTCACTTCCATATTCAATCTCAGTCAGCCACTAAGCCAAGGACATGTTCAGACAGAAGTTTCTCTATATTAGTGCTCAAGCTGGCATAGAGACACTTGCTAACATCTAATCCTTAAAATGGCTGACCCAGAATAAATAGACCTTTCCACTAGAAATATATCTAACTATGGCCCTGACACAGGGCCAAAGAACAGCCCTAAGCAGAGCAAGATTTGAGCTTCTGGATTCTATGGTAAACCATGGACAATTTCATCAAGTGTCTTATCCAGAGAAGATCTGTATCTGTGGTGTGCCACAAATAGAGGACATTGCTCATATCCTCTTTGACTGCCAACTATATGCCTCAGCCAGAGCACAGCATTTAAATTTGTTAATTGATAGAATTGCCCATTGGGACCCCATCAGTAAGGTCTCTTATGTCCTCCAAGGTATAAACACACGGACAGTAAGAAAGACTGCCAAGTTTATAACTAAAGCCATTCAACTGAAAGCTTCCTATCTGGATCAGATTGGGATCAACCGTCAAGAGGATGATTTTACCTAATTACTTCCTTGAATATTTTTAAAACTCAATATGCTGTATTATTTTATTTTATTTTGTATATGGTCATTATAGTAATCAGTAAACAATGAACTAAAGTAAACTAGTGGATAGCAGATTGTTAATCAATGCGAAAGTGAAAATGGATTCCTGCCCCCCCATCACTATGTTGCCAATTCATGCTGTTCAATTTTTTTTTTTAAGAAAATACATTTTAAGTGGGTCTTCATTACCTGGCCTTTGTGTTGTAGTTATACCTGAAAGAGAAAAGATTGTGGTTATTTTAATATGTGCCAAGTGATTGAATTGCTTATTGAAACAATAGATCGCGATATCTGTCCCTAACTGTCACTGGTATGCCCATGACATTGCTAGCAAAATAAAAACAAACAAAATTTTAAAAAAATAATGCTTGGCTTTGCTGGTATGTTTACAAAAGTTACTAGCCTGTAATAAATAATATATATGTTGAGAATGACTGTCAGTGGTATACATCTCAACCTTGAAAGTCAAGTTAAAAACATACAAATACAATAAAAAAATATACAGTATTATTATTTAAAACATTTAGTACTAGAAACATTAATAAATTAAACTAAGAAATTCTACCATCAGTGGGACAACATCATAATATTCTGCTCCCAAGTTCTGCTGGAATAATAACCCTGTTTTAATGGTCTTTCTGAAAAACAGCAGGGTAGGAACCCAACAAAGAATGAGATCTGTTCAATGAATATCTGCTTAGGAAAATGTATGTTTATTTTGAATATGTTGTTTAAGCACAAGTCTGTTCATGTGTATACATGGCACAGAAATGAATATCTATCTGAAAGTTTGACTGATTTGATTGTTTTTGATGAAAGACTGAGGGAATCAGTAAAGGGTTCAAAGGTGTTGAGAAATTCTGAATGTGAGACAGACCATGTCTTGCTACTGCAAAATTTGGGAAGTGCAATGTGGACACGGGTTGTCAAATCAAATTTTGCTCTTCAGCATGTGATAATGTGAATAAGGTTTGAATTATGGAATGTTTTCCATGAATGTAGAATTGAAGTTCTGTTACTAAATGTAAAATGGCTGCTGATGGAAATAAACATACATGAGAATAAATGAAATGTTTGGCAAATAGTTCAACATTAAAATAAGGATGATTGTTTAAGTAGTTCCACTCTCCCCTGGGAAAATTGAATGAACAGTTGCAAGTTTTACAAAAATGGCAAAATTGGAGCAAGTAGATGAATGTGTATAGCTTGATAGAACATTTCCTAAAGGTGAGGAATATTTGTTGGAAAAAAAAGTGAAAATAGCTATGTGTAAGAGTGTGCTTCTGCCCACTTTGTTATATGGAAAGAAAATTGGGTGTGAAAGGAGAAATATAAAAGTAAACTGAATACAGTGTTAATTGGGAACTTAAGGAATATGTGTGATGAAACAAGCAGAAATAGAATCAAGAATGAATGAGTGCACATCTTTTGACAAGATTCCAAAAACAAAGAGATGAGATCTTTCACAATGTATAGGGATTGTATGAAATGTTGTAGGGATGTGGGGAAGCAAAAAGAGAAAATTGTGAAAAGGTATAGTGAATGGTATTGGTGAAAATGAGCTTAAGCAATGTATCTCATGCCTTTGATTTCTTTAGTTGACAATTTCTTATTCCTTTCCTGTACTCTATATAACACTCTTTATCCCAAAAGGGAATAGCATGATGGCTAGCTAGGTAGGTAGGTAGGATTAGGTCTGCTGAATTGAATGAACCTTTCAGCTAAAAATGTCACCTGTTAGATTAGATCCAACAGAATTAGTGAGTGAAGAGCTTCTGGAACTAGAATGGAACTAGACTTATGGGAGGCTGCCCCTCATGTTGACTACTGGCACTTGAATTATGTGGATGCCCCTGAAGGATCTTCAGGCCCTTTCTTGCCCCCACCCACTCAGGCTGGTCAGGGAGTTTGCCTTGATCAGGAGAATAATAAAAACTCTCCTATTTATTTGCCTTGCTAGATCCAGAAAGACTTCCTGATTGTGTGGTGTGTATCTTGGCTTCCCCTACTTCTGGCTCACTCTTAATTCCAGCTTTGGAGTGCTCCATGGCCCGACTGTTCCTTTGCTCACTTCTGTGACGTCTCACTTGTCTTTGGCTTTGATTTCTGCTTGTTCCATGACAGGAACTTTTATGATTCACTAGATTGTTTCTTAGACTCTAACTTCCTGGCTCAGTTTTGACTTCCTGGCTTATCTTGGAGATTTGCCTGCAGCACATTAATTGTGCAATTATGGCTGTACATTATTAACCCAATTAAAAAAACAAAACCAAGGTGCCTGCTATTAGTGATTATTTGGAAAGAGAAAGCTGGGAAATAAATCTAACCCTTGCTTCCTTACCTAACAAGAGATGTTCAGGAATTCCCTTTTTCCATAAAGTTATATGCAAATTGTCCCAACTCTTCAATTTGGCACAGAATTGACATGTAAACTATGAAATAGAGAGGACTGCTTTCTTGTACATAGTGTTAAAGGGTGCTTATACTAGAAAATTTTGCCTAAGATTTCAGCATCACATTAGTTTTATTCAAGGTACTCATGACTCTAGCAAAAGAATATGTTGTCTGGCACTTTAATGCACTTTACATGGGTTATCTACAAAAGTATAGCCATAACAGCTCAGTGAGGTAGGATGCTGAAGGGCAGTGATTGGACCAAAGTCACCCACTGAGCTCTGTGATCTACTAGGGACTTGAATCTGGATCTTTGGATCAGAGATCAATACATTCTCTGAGAGCCTGGCTTCTAGATTGTGCCTTTTGGCAGCTATATTTCCTGGAGATAGCTTAAGACTTTTGAGGTTCTTTGATGAGTCCTTTCCCTCAGGACTCTTCAACTTTATATCCAGCTTTTTCTCCTGTATGTGGCTCTGCAATAAGTAAGTACTACAATTACTTATAGCTATCTTAGAATATGAAATTAGCTATTTAATGATGTGTTCTTAAACCGGATGCATTAGTTAACTCTCATGTCACAATTTAAAATCTGTAAATATAAAAATGTGTTATAAAATATTTATATTTGAATGACAAAGTAAGAAAGTACCTGAACAAATAACTCCAGCATCTTCACTGTGGGAACAGTCATGACTTCCCCAGCCCCGATGAGGACAGTTCCAGAGGTGGGATTCGTACCCATCACACTGAACATTATCCAGGTAAATAGGGCCATATCCTGAGCCAAAATATGCTTGTTGTGTTGCTTGAATGGCTTGTCCACATCCCAGCTGTCTGCATACCACTTTTGCATCATTCAGGTCCCAAAGATCATCACAAACAGTCCCCCATTCTTGGTAATTTCGCCTAATTTCAACACGTCCTTGACAGTAATCACCTCCGTTTACCAATCGGAGTTCTTGAGAAAAAAAAAAAAATAACATTGTTCAGTCCTAAACATTCACAGACAGGTATGATTAGCTGTTATTCCACCTAAAGGAAATATTTTCACAACCGCACTTTTCTGTAGGGTACAGGATTAATAATGGTGCTCAAGATATGAAGATGTGAGAAAATCTCTATCTTTATAGGGACTCAACTTTTGGATGTCTGTCTGCCATCACTATCCTAGTGCGGCAAAATAAAATAAAATAAAATAAAATGAAATGAAATGAAATGAAATGAAATGAAATGAAA